TAACAATAATAACAATAATAACAATAATAACAATAATAACAATAATAACAATAATAATGATAACAATAATAACAATAATAACAATAACAACAATAACAATAACAACAATAATAACTAACAACAATAATAACAACAACAATAATAACAACAACAATAACAATAACAACAATAATAGTAATCAAATCCCCTCAAATTCTAAATAAGTGGTACCTACCCCTAGCTCAAGAAAACCTGTCCTTTCTTCCTTTATTGTTTGGTGTTCTCGACCTTTATTACTTATTCTAATAATTTACAATAAAGAAAACCCAATAATTGTGAGGCCATCTTCCATTTTCCACAACTTTATGTTTTCTCTCCCTCTTACACACATTTGTGTTTTGCCAGTATGTGGACAGGTGATGAATCAGAACCGTATTGTGGGCGGAGAAGATGCTTCTCGAAATGCTTGGCCATGGCAAGCCAGCCTCCAATACCAAGGGAGACATGTCTGTGGAGCGACCCTCATCAGCTCTCAATGGATACTGACAGCAGCCCATTGCTTCCCTAAGTGAGTAAGTGTGAGAAGGACCAGTTGTGGAATTGCACAGACTTCAGCTCTAGCTGCCTAAGCAGCCATTTACTGGAGGCATATAAAAATATGAAGATTGCAGGAACTGGGTATGTCTAGTTTAATGAAAGAAGGACTAGGGGTGACATTATAGCATGTTCCAATATCTCAGGGGATGCCACAAAGAAGAGGGAGTCAAACTAATCTCCAAAGCATCTGAGGATAGAACAAGAAGCAATGAGTGGAAACTGATCAAGGAGAGAAGCAACTTAGAACTGAGGAGGAATTTCCTGACAGTTAGAACAATTAATTGGTGGAACAACTTCCCTTCAGAAGTTGTGAATGCTCCAACACTGGAAGTATTTAAAAAAGATGTTGGATAACCATTTGTCTGAAATGGTATAGGGTTTCCTGCCTAGGCAGGCGGTTGGACTAGAAGACTTCCAAGATCCCTTCCAACTCTGTTATTCTATTCTATTCTATTCTATTCTATTCTATTCTAAAAGCAGCATATGCTTCTGTGTTAAAACTGTGTTTTAAAAAAGCTGTTGGTTCTGTGAGGTCTGTTTATTATGTATGCCATCCTGCTCTAATCTGAGGTCCCCCAGAAGTGTTGGACCCAATTCCTGGGAGATGTGAAAATTGTAGGCCAACATATCTAAAAGCGAGCTGGATTAGGAAAGTCTGAGGTACAGCAAAACAAGCAAACATCTAAGCTCAGAGCATGAAGAATTCCACAATTCAGCCCCGAAGCTACATACATTCTCTTTTATTGGAACAGTGACTGGGAAACCCTGGATAACCAGGAGGGATGGGAAATGGGTGGAATGGTTGTATTTCTCAAGTGGAAACTCTCCACCTCTCAAATCTTGAACCGGATAACTGAAATGGATATTTGGGGACTAGTGCTGCAGAATTTTCCTGAAGGGTCTAATTCTTAATTGTGGTTCCCAACAGGAAAGCCATACTCTCTGATTACCAAGCCAACTTGGGAAACTACCAGCTCTTGAAGCCAGACCCAAATGCTGTGTGGCGGAAACTGTCTCAAGTGGCTGTGCACAAGGACTATGCCGGAGATGGAACCAGTGGGGACATAGCTGTGGCTCAGCTAGAGCAACCTGTCCGTTTCACCCAAGGCATCCTTCCAGCCTGTCTCCCACATGCCAAAATCCAGTTCCCAAACGGCACCCTTTGCTGGGTGACAGGGTGGGGTTCACCTGCATATGGAGGTGAGGAAAATTGTGGGATGAAGACCTGAAGAAGAGAGAGAGAGGCTCTTCTTTAGCACAGAGAGTCTAACTCCAATGAGATGAACCAAGAAAGGAAATGTGAACAAAATGGTTACATTGCATGGTATTTAGGAAACAACTAAGAGCCTTTCTAAAGTTTAACATTTTTGTGTTTCCTTTGTACCAAGACCACTCAGCATTTCAAAGAACAATTCAGAAATGTTGCTAGTTAAATAAGACCATAAGCAACATGTGATTAAGAAGAAAGGTTTTTTGGTTTAGAAGAATTTAATAGAAAGTGAAATCAACACAAAGTTTATGTAGGTATGCTTTTAAAAAAAACAATACTCCCATTACCACACAAACATGGCATCACTGGAATTTGGCAAATACACATACATAGATATTGGCATTGATCATATTTAATGTGAAGGCTTCTTAAATTGAAGTTAGTTCTCAGTCAATACTTAATGGGCTAATTAAAATATTGATATTTTAGATAATTTAATTCCCAATCCTGTTTTTGAACCACTCTGTTGTTGCAAGAGGAATTAAAACTTCAGAACGGCAACATAGTCAACAGATCTTTTCATTTCACATTTTGGACTAAATACATTAGTTGCATCTAAAATGCTTGAATTTGTATTGCCACTGAAATGTATTTGGGGTAGTATTAAATTTATTTTTTTTGTGGGCTGCTAAAGAAACTGTACTGTTAAGGGGGATATTATTTGCAAGAAATTTGGAAGAAAGAATTGGGACATCCCATTTTGCAATCAGTGGTTAAGGAACTTAATGAATATTTAATATTTATTTATTTATTTATTTAATTTAATTTAATTTAATTTAATTTAATTTAATTTAATTTAATTTAATTTAATTTAATTTAATTTATATTGCCCCCTATTCACCCATGGTGACTCAAAGCAGCTTACAAAATATAAAACCACATTTAAAACAATAAAAACTAAGAAAAAGAATCAAATAAATTAATATAGTACAATATAACAAAAACAACCCCCATCTCCCACTCACCCCCCGCCCTGGCGACAGCAGATCACACGAGCCATTTAATGGGCTCTATCCTGCTCTGGATTCCCCATGCCTGATGGCAGAACCAGATCTTCAGCATCTTCTAGAAGAGTATTAGAGTAAGGGCCGTTCTAATATATGTTCTAGAGAGAGGGAGCCACCACAGAGAAGGCCCTTCATCTGGGTCCCACCAAGTGTACCTCCCTCGGAGATAGGGCCCACAACATTCCCTGCCTCATTGGTGGGTCGGGTAGATGTGCCCAGCAAGATGTCTCAAATGACAGCGAAAAAACTAAATTTAACATTTTTTGTTGACAGTTAAAGAGTACTGCACTGTTAAGAGAGATATTAGTTATTTGCAAGGAATTTGGAATGATTCTATATTAGCTTAACATTCATAATTTTATTAATAGATTTTGAAAAAGTATTATGTACTATGACTCACATATTTAAAATTTATCACTGTATGGAGAGCTATGGATTAAAAAAGCCTGGGGTAACAGACTGTATTACCCTGGATTTACATTCTTGGATTGGTGATATGTGGTTATTATTCTGCTTGTGAACTAGTTCTTTATTGACGTAATGGAAAAACTAACCAATATTTCAACATTAAGATATTACATTTAAAAATGCAATTTTTAAGCTACGTTATGATATATTGTATATTTTTGCTCTTAATTGTGTTTTGTCATTTCTGCTTGTTTTGATAAAGGTATCTTCTTTTTCCCCACTATATTAAACAATGAACTAAAATAAAAAATAGATGGACATATTCATGTCCATTTCAAAGCAGCAATAGACATTTCTTAGTCTAATCCAGCATTCTCTAACCTTGGCAGGGTTGTAGATTTCAATTCTCAGAATCCCCTAGCCAGAATGCAGCTATATTACATTAAATTGAGTGTTTTGTTTTGTTTTTGTGGCTTTGTGCCTGGATGGTGCCCTTGATATTCAAAGACAAAGTGGGATCCTGTGCTCCTTCCATATGAAAAAGGTGAAATTGTGGCAGGAATTTAAAACAATGGTTGCAGAAGGGCAAATGACAAAAGTAACATTGCATCAACGTGGTAGAATGTGTCATGATGTCATCTACGTAAATAAAAGAGGTAGAACTTTCATCATGATGAGCAACTTGGCTTTTGTCATTTTGCTGAAGGTGGTGGCTCATGTAGATGCTTTTGCTCAGAAAGGTGGCAATTTGGTGAAGTGGTGGTCAGGACCTGGTTTGGGGAGAGTAAAAAAAAAGTTTTAATTTTTTGAAATGAAAATAACATTCTTTCTTGGCAGTATATCACTTACTGTGAACTACTTAATTTCTCATACTTATTTTTGATTACTTCTGTTCTATCAGAGCTGTGGTGGTGCAGTGGCTAGAATGCAGTATTGCAAGCTAATTCTGCTGACTGCCAGCAGTTCAATTCTCACCAGTCCAAAGTTAACTCAGAGTTGGATCCTTCAGAGGTTGATAAAATGAGGATCCAGATTGTTGAGGGCAATATGCTGACTCTGTAAACCACTTAGAGGGGCCCATAAAGCACTGTGGAGTGTATACAAGTCTGAGTGTTATTGCTATTTTTATCCTATGGAAAACATGCCTTTCATTAAGAAACTTGCCCAGCTATATTATAGGCTATGCCCACAAAGAGTCATTGCCACCAACCTTCCAAATGGCATGGATATTTATTTCATTTTTATTTGTATGTAAACCTCTTTGTGAAGCTGGTTATACTGAAAGCAGGGTATATTTAATTGTAATAATAACCATTGGAGCAATCAATTAAGAAAAGGGGACACTGTGCATTCTAGTTCTGCCTTAGGCACTAAGCCAGCTGGGTGATCTTGCGCCAGTCACAGCAAATCATTTTGGGCGAACTGTAGGGACTTGTCCAGGCTGTCTCTGAACATTGAACGTGACTGAGCAGAGGAAAAGGATAGTAATAATCTTAACAATAATGATGTATTTTTTTCTTCAAGCCAATCTGGGAGGTCCTAAAACATTGCAGCAGGTCCAGTTGCCATTGATAGACACCATGACCTGTGATGCGCTCTTTCATATTGGTACGAATATCAGTCCCACCAACAGAGAGATCAAGGATGACATGTTCTGTGCTGGCTATGCAGAGGGAAAAAAGGATGCTTGTTTGGTAAGAGAGGATGTTAATGGACATAGTATGAAACAGCATTTTCAAAGATCGCTCAAGGATGGAAAGATTCTAAGAGTGAACTAAAGTGCCTAGCCAAGTTGTCCTATTTGTCATGATATAAAATCCTTTTTGAGCAGAGAGGGATGCACCTACCCTTGAGGGTGATTGAAGGTTTTTCTTTCTATTTTCATAGCACTATAGCATTCTCAACAGAGATTGCTGCTTCTTTCCTGCACTTCTTGGAAGGGCTGTGTGGCTCTGTGATGTTATGAGACACATGACCGTGACCCGACCAATGCGTGCCCAACAACAGCGCGCCGACAAAACTGTGGCGATAAAACCGCAACATCGACAGCGCGCCCACAAAGGCGTGCCGACAAAAGAGCGCTGACAGAAGAGTGATTAGGGTTAAGGTAAGGGTTAGGGTTAGGGTAAGGGTAAGGGTAAGGGTAAGGGTTAGGGTTAGGGTAAGGGTTAGGGTTAGGGTTAGGGTTAGGGTTAGGTTTAGGGTTAGGTTTAGGGTTAGGTTTAGAGCGCGCTTTTGTCAGTGCGCTGTTGTTGGTGCGCTTCTGCACTCATTCATCAGCGCGATTTTGAACTCACAGTTTTCTCATCGTGGTTTCATCGGCGCGCTTTTGTCGAGCGCATATTTGTTAGTGAACCACACATGACTACTGCAGGAAGTATCACAGCTGGCATTTTAGCACGTGTATTTAAGAGTAGACCGAGACTTTTCTGATTGCATTCTTCAATAGGAATTTTAGTTCAGCCTATTTTAGGTCTTTTCCCTTGATTGCTAATAGGTATATCATTGTAGGTTTTCCAGAGCTGAGGAGAGGGCAATCTTCAAATTCTTGTAGGCAATATTGCAAAAGTTCCTTAATATTCTCTTTGTGAGTTTCTCCTGGCAGAAAGTCCACTAGAAAGATGGTGGATTTTGTTGGTAAAATTGTAGCATTACAGTGTTTTTTTATGCTGGTCCAGGCTATGCATAATAGAAAACAAATAATCTGTTATGGACAGAGGGATAACATAGACTCTTACTGCTTACTTTTCTCAACCAGGGTGACTCCGGAGGTCCATTAGTCTGCCAAGAGAATGGTGCTTGGTTTGTTGCAGGCATTGTGAGCTGGGGTGATATGTGTGGCCTTCCCAACCGCCCAGGAGTTTACACCAGTGTTAGTTTTTATCAAGACTGGATTCAGAATCACTTTCCTGGGGTGCAATTTGGTCTTGTAAATGTCACTTATTACCAAGTTCCTTCACCTCAACATGCCTCAAGCCAAGTCCTCAAAAATTTCAATTTTGTTCTCCAGCTTCTGATCTCCTGCTTTATCATCATTTTCTGAGACCGATTGGGAATAAGACATTCTGTGCTTTTATTTACCAAGTTGATTTTTTACGGAAAAATAAATCTTAACCAAAGTCTCCTTGGAACGGCAGCATCTTATACTAAAGAAGACATTTATGGAAGTTTATGGAAACACCACCAGCTTCTATCCTTGACGTGGCATTAGAAGTCCATTTCTCCCAAATGAATGGATTGTGAAATGTGAAGTTTATTTTTTATCATAGAATATTATGGATTTTTAGGGCATTAGAGATGTGGAGAGATATTTTACTGGTGAGAGAATCATATTTCTTCATTTTGTTCTGTTCATCTAACTCTCTGAAGGAGAACAAGAGCTCTCAGGTTTGTTTCTCAAAGGGGTTATTCATGTCACTTCATACACACACACATACACATACATATATACATACCATCCCACTTACCAAAGGGCTACTTTTTATCTATTATTTTTTTAGCTCTTTCCACTGATAACAAGAAAAGGAAATATGGAAGAGCCACCCTATTCAAGTCATTTTGAATTTTCATCAAGGCTTCTGGATAGTATTTGGCTGGCACTACTCTAACCCAACAGTTCCTTTTTCTGAATTTGAAATGGTGAGGGAAGTGATGTAGTAAAACAGCTAAATGTAACCTTGTTCCTTTAGAAGACTAGAGCTCCTCATCTGAGGAATCTCATTTTGCCACAGTATCTACCTCAGACTTAGCCTTAGACTTGATCTACCCATTGAATGAAATTGTAGGATCTTGAAGTTGTAGAATGGTAGGTAGATCATATCACTTGAAAATGCAGACAGGGAAATGCTTTTGGTTATCTTCCCACATTTCTTCCCCAAATAATGCATTAAGAAGAAGAAAAAAATGAAATAGATCCATAGTGGCTTTTAGTTAACCACGTATTGACATCTCTCTGGGAGTATTAGAAATATTGGAAAATATGTGGTGTGTATCAATTGGAAAGAAGGCTTGGCCAAGAATACTTCTTAAAATCTATGCTTCTTAAATCTATTGGAAGAGACTTTCCCTCACCTCCTCTTTATATAGCATTCTTGTTAGGAATAATTTAAATAATAACTGGAGAAAATACTGCAAAGAATCACAGAACCAAATCTTATTGGATTTTTGACACATAGGGCTAAATATTTCAGGTATGTTTTCTTATCACTAGGTTGGGCTTGATGGGAAAGAAAATATGCTTTTGATGAGAAAATATGCTTTTAAGGACAAAATGCAAATGAATAGAGATTTTGCCAGGTTCCTGGTACATTCATGGTATAGTCATGTTTTCAATTTCTTTGTAAAGAAAATAAATAATTTGTAATTACGTATGTGCAATTTTCTTGGCAGAGTTATGGAAATGGTTAGCTATTTCCTTCTTCCTTTCTTTTCAACTTTCCACTTTACCCAACACACTTGGGACTTCCTGGTAGCCCTAATTCCAAGCAATATATTGGTTGCCTTTTTTGAACAACAGTGTATGTTCCTCAAGAAAACTGGAGATGGGAAGGCTTCCAAAGCAGGTTTTCGAGTGATCAAGAGACGCTAAATCCCCAAATCTGATAAACAAATGAAAGTGTGTTGAGATTTTATTTCCCCCATCATGTGCAGGTTTTTAAACCAAAGTTTAAGCTTACAACTGTAAACTGTATGTCATTTGGACTGTAAGTAGATTCAAGCCAAACAATGTAACTGAATGCATTTATAGGATAAAAACTTCAGCATTTGCAAATCCAGAATGTGATTTGGGGATGAAATGATAGCATTAAGCCTCAGTTTTTGACTAAAGGGACATTTGTTCACTAGATGTTTGGGTTTAGTGTGTCTTGCAGACACACCCTATGACAGAAGAGGGTTACAACTGAAAGCTTTGTTTTGTCTCTAAAAATGTCTGGAATGATAATAAAATCAGTTCAATCTCTATATAAGGCTGGAATGGATAGCTCGCAGTACACATAATGAATGTAGATGGATTTCTTTGCTTGGTGTCAGAATCCTGAAGGTGGCAATGCTAACATTTATGATAGAACACTAAATGTTGACAGTAGAACTTAATCCCTCCACCCCAGCAGGAAAATACCAATCTTCTGATAGATATTTTACAACGTTCCTTGAATCCCAAAATTATTTTATTAAAAATAATAAAAACATAAAATACCAAGAGAAGAGTATATATGTCTTTCAAAGTTGAACTGTGGAGTCTTGGTGGTGTCTGAGTTTGGGTGTTATCAGGGCAGGACAGGGCAAGAAGCAATGGATGAAACCTGATCAAGGATAAAAGCAACCTAGAACTAAGAAATTTCCTGATGCTACAATAATTAATCAGTGGACCAACTTGCCTCCAGAAGTTGTGAATTTTCCAACACTACAAGTTTTAAAGAAGAGATTGGATGATCATTTGTCTGAAATGGTATTGGGTTTCCTGCCTGAGCAGTGGGTTGGACTAGAAGACCTCCAAAGTCCCTTCCAACTCTGTTATTCTGTTTGCTTATAGATTTTTTGTTACTAGATCAGGTAACATCTTTCATGTTCAGTGCACTGAATATGTTACCTAGTCTGGTAATGAAACATCTGAAAGAAAAGCTTCACAAAAGTGAGAACCAAAACTTCCAGCCTTGTTCCTTTGGAGAATATAATGATACCATCATTATCTCCTTTCCACTGCTCAGAGACTGGAAGAAATAACTCTGAGTGAAATGATTGCCTGGCCTTAAGAGAAAAGATTGGTGATTTAAATTTTGTGTCATTTTCCAAGGGCTGCAAATTATGGCAGAGTGGTAGATACTATTCATTAAGCCAGTCTAGAATAGACTAGCTTCAGATGAGTGGTTTTGCATTGAAAAATGGCAGAAGAGTCATGAACAGCCATTGAGTTTCATCCTGTTAGACCAGTTTCAAATTTACACCCAGAAGCTGCCATCAGACCCAAAACTGAAGATTAACGACTCCTATTGTAAGACTGCAAAAGGCCCTAGTTGAATTGAATGAAAGAGAGGAAGAGTGAGGAAGTGAGAAAGGGCGGGTATTGAAGCTATGCGGATGGTGATGAGCTTAACTTTCTGTATATTTAAACACAGAATAACAAACAATTTTCCAGGAGATTGTCAAAAGCCTGTTTTCATCTCTCACCATTTGAAACTATTAGGTAATAACAGCTAGCAGAATGGCATTATTCCCATTCCAACATCTTTGGGTCACCCTAAAGGAGAGTTGTCTCAAATCAGAGAGAAATCGTGTTCTATCTGGGTGTCCAAGTTCAAGGATTTTTTTTGGGAAGGAAGTAGGATGGTATAAAACTAGGTAGGTAACAAAGGTGCAGCGGTGGGTTGCAGGAGATACACCCCGGTACAGGTGTACCAGTGCCTGCCGGAACCAATGGGTACCGTTTTGGTACGGTGCTCTGGAGGGCCACCCACCTGCCCGAGCTTCTTACCTGTATTTGATCTCTTCAGCGCTTCTGCGCATGTTCACGGAGCATACGGCGCCTGTATGACCACCAAGCAACTGGAGCATCACTGAGGCAACATGGAGGTAAGGGCGCATGTGCCTGTGTGCGTGCATGCTGCATGTGTGCATGTGGGGGACGCCAGGCGCCATTGCACCTTACTGGTTGCAACGGGATCCGGAACCCACCACTGCAAAGGTGGTATTCAGTAGGTTCTGACCAGTTCTGGAGAACTGGTAGTGGAAATTTTGAGTAGTTCGGAGAACCTCTGACTGGCCCCACCCCCATCTATTCTCTGCCTCCCAATTCCCACCTGATTGGAAGGGAATGCGGATTTTACATTATCCTTCCCCTGCCATGCCCACCAAGCCACACCCACAGAACTGGTAGCAATTTTTTTTGAATCCCACCACTCATAGGTAAGGAGGGAAGGGAACATGACTGAGAAACAATATATATCTCAGGAAAACCCATCTACCTTCTATACTGCAAACAATAAATAAATCTCAAATATGTAGCACCATGCTCTGCATTCAGTAAACCTTCATTTCATGAAATAACTTTTCTAAGAGTGCTTGTGCCAGCAGCAATTTTCTTTTAAAAGAAGCAATCTCTCCCCATCCATTTTCAAAGGTAGAGAACAGTAAATACATATTTAAAGCAGGGCTGTCATTTAAGCAAAGTGTGAATTGTAATGCCCAATAATGGTAACTAGGAGGCTCAAGATAAGGAATGGAGTAGCTGTGCCTTGTTATTTGCTCAGGATTGTTTTTTGGGGGGGCACCCACCCAAACTCCATCAATTAATTTTGTTCCATAATAAGAAAGAATATGATGTGATACTGGCTATCAACTTGGCTGCTTCAAAAAGAGGTTGGATGAATTCCTGAGTGGGGATCAGTGGCTTTTGATGGCAGTGGGACTGCTTTGAAAGGTAGGACTGTGGAAAACTACTGAGCTTCTTTGTGCAATTCGAAGGCCACAGCAAGAACAGACTGTTGGATTGGATGGACCAGGAATTCTATCCAGCAAAACAATGCTTCTGTTCTGATGTTCTAACAGTATTTCTCAACCTTGGCAGCTTGAATATGTCTGGACTTCAACTCCCAGAATTCTCCAACTGGCCCTGCTGAGTGTTTGGAATTCTGGGAGTTGAAGTCCACACACCTTCCAGTTGCCAAGGTTGAGAAACTTTGTAAGGCCTTCACTTCTTGCTTTTCCCTCTAATTTAATACACAAGAAACACAGCTCCAAGAAAATTTGGAATTCAGTATTTTTTACTAGTGCTTTTTAATGGAAACATAATAAGGATTCTGGGAAGTGCAAAAATGAGGTAGGTGGACAAACATAATGAATAGCCATATCTGGCATAAAATGTTGCAATAAAAATTTCCTGAGCACATTTACATCAATCCTTTCACACGTTAAATCGTGCTTCTGTTTCACTCTGAACAGTCTTGATTCCAGCAATATAATTTAATAATTAAAGAAAAACCTGTGTGCTACATGTACTAATAGATGTTGACCAATCTTCTGCCTAGTAAGGTTTTAAGTCACTAACAATGTTGGAAAATTTCTGAATGGGATTTTCTGTTGGATTTTTCCTATTTTCAAAGGTGCCTTGGATTTTCTTCTGCATCGACTTTCTGATCTAAATTTCCTCCCCAAAATGTTGGGTGACCCTCACAGGAAAACAAAGGTACTGCAGCATCTTTGGCAATAAGATAGCTCAGGGGTCAGCAAACTTAAACACTCAAAGAGCCATTTGGACCAGTTTCCCACAAAAAAGAAAACTACTGGAGCCACAAAGGTCCTAACTGGAAGCCCCCTGTTCAGTTCTGGAGCTGGGTGTTCAATTTCCCCACCATAGAGTCTCCTCCTACTTTTTCCTCTACCTGTTATAACCAAAAGCCCTATCAATTGTGGAGACAACTGGAAAACCCTCCCCTTGTCATAGAGTCTTCTCCTGGCGCACTGTGCTTCTCTCCCCTCCCCACCGGATGCTTCTCTCAAAATTGTGGTGCTGACTGGTGAAAGAGCTGTAGCAGAGGGAGGAAAGAGCCACATGCGGCTCCAGAGTCACAGTTTGCTGACCTCTGAGATAGCTTATTTCACTGCCACAACTGCCAAGCAAAACCATCTCTACCAGTAGGAGAAATGAAGTATCTCTTGTTGAATGCTCTTTGGGGTAGAGTGTATTGAAGTAGTCTAAACAAAAGGTTATAAGGACACGAGTCACTGTAAGCAAGGCCTCCTGGTTCAAGAAGGGCCCAAGTGGCACACCTCCTGTAAGTGTGCAAAGCAGTGGTGGGATTCAATTTTTTTTACTACTGGTTCTGTGGGTGTGGCTTGGTGGACATGGAATGGCTTGGTGGGCATGGCAGGGGAAGGATACCGTAAAATCTCCATTCCCTCCTGATCAGCTGGGACTCAAGAGGCAGAGAATGGATGGGGGCGGGGCCAGTCAAAGGTGGAATTTACTGGTTTTCTGAACTACTCAAAATTTCTGCTACCAGTTCTCCAGACCTGGTTAGACCCTGATGAATACCACCTCTGGTGCAAAGGCTCACCTAACCTCCTAACCAGTGCTATCTCTAGCACTGATGATGTTACCTAGTCTGGGTAATGAATCATCTGCAAAAAACAAACTCAGAGATAATCAAGAACCACTCGTTTTTTCTCTTTTATTACTTCCTGTTAGGAGTGTTGCTATGGACCTCTCACAAGAAGATCCACAATAAGTGTATGATGCTCATAGTTTGCCTGGCCATCTAGCCTGTTGGAGAGTGTCTAGGTAGAACTGTTACATGAGGAAGAAGGTGTGCAAAAGAGAACAGTGGAGGAAAAATGGTTGTTTTTCTTACTTCAATTATCAGATCCTCTTGAGTTGCAATATATATGCATCTGTTTTCAAGTGTGATACACCCACCGATTAGTCTGGCTAGTATTTGTTTGTTTGTTTATTTAAATTTCCCAACTCAGTCGATGGCTTTGGGTGGTTTACAATTAAAAAAAATACTACAATTAAAATAATAAAAACATTCTAAAAAAATAACAACAATAAAAAACATACCCAAAATAAATACTGTATGTGCAGCAGCTGAGATATTTGGTCAGTTAACAATTAAGCCAGGAAACAGTGACCTTAACACATTCAGTGCCCCAGGCTTGGTTTTTAAAACCTAACAAAAGTCCTACAGGGTTGGGGGCATTCTAAATTCCAAGGGAAGGGGCTACTGCAGAAAAGACCCATCTTCTAATCCCTGCCAGCCAACATTTTCTGACTGACAGTTATCTGTAGCATGCTGAATGTACTAGATGGAATTGGATAGGTAGAGACCCTTGGAAAAAGGCTGTCCCCCTGATAACCTGATACTAAGCCATATAGGGCTTTAAAGGTAACAACTAGCACCTTCAATGGCACCCAGGAAAATACTGCTAACCAATGGAGTTCACACAGTAGCAATGTTATGTATGCCGTATACCTGGTACCATTTAGTATCTGCACAAACATACTTTGCATCAGTTGAAGTTTCTGAATGCTCTTTGGGAGAACTCCACATAGAATGCATGGTGGTAGTGTAAATGAAAGATTACAAGGACGTGAGTAATTGTGAGCAGGGCCTCCTGATCTAAGAATGGTTGCAACTGGTGCACAACCTGAAGGCGTGCAAGGGCTCTTCTAACCATGGCTACCACTTGCTCTTTGAACAGGAGCCATCAGTTTAGGAGGAGCTTCAGGTTGCAGATCTGTCTGGACTACTGCAATACAAAACTAAAAATGGAAGAACTTTTTCTCCAGAGGGTTGTACCTACAGCCCACCAGTTGAGTCAAGAGTCTGTTTTACTTCATCCATTTCTCAAAAACTTCCAGACACTGAGATTGGATGTCAATGCATCACTCAAAGGGCTTGAGGTAGAGATATAAAGCTGAATGTCTCCTGCATAATGATGATATCTCACCCCCCCCTAAACTGATAGACCACCATACCTAGTGGCCTCGTGTAAATGTTAAACTGAACGGGAGAGAGAACCAAACCCTGAAGTACCCTACAAAATAGGAGCCGTAGGCTGGATCTCATTCCCTGCAGCAATTACAGCAATTATGATAACAAAACCATTTATTAAGTTGCCTAAGTATGAAATGAAGTTCTTGGATGGATATATACCAAGCAAATGAGTCATAATATAACCAGGGACTATTGAATGCCACACATGTTGCTATGTCTATTACAGAATCTGTTCCAGGAACTGGGAAAGTTGTGGGTTCCTCTATTCCAATCCTCTACTTTCAGTACTATTTCTGGAGTAGAATTCAATCCATGAATGGATGTGGTGAGAGCAAAGAGGGTATGGAGTACTCCTGTAGACCTGTCAGTTTCACGAGTATCACACCAAAGGTGGAATGCTGAAGTGAATTCTTCATCACAGTAAAGAAGGAAAAAAAATGAAATTCTTTGCTTCCCCATTGACTGTTCTGACAATTTTGGTTTTCTTTCAAAATGGAGTGTAAAAAAATTAACACAAACAGGAGAAAGAACTGCTTTCCCTTCTTTAAAAAGTCTGCTGAGATAATAGCTGCAAAACAATAGTGGCAGCAAGGAGGGAGATGAAACTGAAACTGCCAGTAGAGGCACTGTGACTGATACTACTGTTGTTTACTCTTGACCCATGGGTGTCTCTAAGCTCTGGTATTTGACTGTGGATCCATTTCTGGTAGTATGCCACTTTTGCATAAACTCCAGGACGATTCTTCTGGGCACATCCATCTCCCCAGCTCACTACTCCTGCAATAAACCAAAAATCTTCCATCCGGCAGGCCAGTGGACCACCTGAATCACCCTGTGCAGAAGGAGCAGCATTTAAGGAAAAAACATTGGCAATGATGGAATCAAATGCTTATTATTAACGCTGCATGTGTAACATACAGTATAAGAGTGAAATGAGAATTTTCTTTTTATATTTGCATATGTGTGTACGTGCCTTTCAGAATACAATGCATAAAGATACCATATCTGGGATAATTATCTGAAGACAGCCAAGATAATGCTAACTCTTGGCTATTGTATGGCGATTATACAGAATTTTGCAGCCCAACTATCCTTACTAGAATTATTCTGGAATTAAACATCGACAGCAAATGAAGAAGGTGCCCAAACTTCATGAACTGTAAATGTACATTCTAATTAATTTACTGCATAAAACCCAGCAAAATCTTACCTGGCAAGCATCCCGTTGTCCGGCAGCAAAGCCAGCACATATCATATCTTCTTTAATTTCTCTTGAGGACCTGCGCTGTCTAGAGTCTTGGCGGTAGAGAGAGTTGCATTTTTTTGTGCTGATTATGGGAACTTCTAGTTTTTGTAGTATATCAGAATTCTGTCGTCCTTCTGCAAAGAGAGTAAATTGTTAGACTTAACTACTTTTGAACCATGGAGACTGGGGAGACTACAGGTGATGATGATGATGATGATATATATATACATATATATATATATATATA